GAAAATGTAATCGAATGCTTACAATTTGGGGGGACATAGTGGCTGCCCGCTGATTCTTTAACATGGCTTCCCAATCACTCAGCACCAATTGGGTAATTCCTAACTTTTTATATATTTAATTCCCTTAATTTCCCTAAAATCCAACTGATCCCATTTCAGTTTTGTTAGATAACAAAAAGCCACTCTTTAAAAGGTCCTCTCTTCTGACCCTTTCTTCCTTCTTCACATTGTGGAAGGTAATAGATATTGTTGCTGATATCAGATATATGGAAAAACTGTTTTGGTTATGATTGGAGAAGCCCCGTAAGACATTCCTATCATCTGACCCAAGAACACTTGGACACACAGCAAGTGGCCAGCTGTTGACAGGAAGCCTGAGAATGCATCTGTCCCACAGTCAAAACAAAGCAAAACCCAGCCTTCCCTGTAACAAGTAAAAAGGAGAGACGTTCAGCTGCAAGCAAGCAACTTCACACACCCCCGGCGTTGTCACCTTCTCTGAGTCTAATTAGAAACTTTATTCCAGAATAGCATGAAACAAATCACATTTTCCCATTTGAAGATGTCGCAGTTCTCCTAGGTTTTAACAGCAGCTGCACGACGTTAGTTGTGAGATGCCTGCAAATGGAGGGAACACCTACAGGGTACTATATATGGGAGAGCACAGAAGCGGCAGCTGCTCAGGACTGTGCCCTGAATGTCCCGTTCGAGCCAGTGGCACCTCAGGTCTCACTGTTGGCATCGTGCAACTCAGGGGACATAAGGGCAGTGGGCCACATGGAGGAGGCACTACACTTTCAACTGGGGCCTCCCTTTGCTTGAGCAGTGGATATCATAGGAGGACCACCGTGCTGGATCTGGTGCTGCTGATGAAAGAAGCATCTCTAGGAAGCAGACCTGATTTTGAGCGTTAGATGTAATGAGCTCAGAACACAAGGGCTGACTTGAATACTTAGACTGTCAGGCACTCCTTAAAATTTCTGTCCTTCGGGGTTACATTTTATGTACATAGTCTACAAATGAGTCTAATCTCAAACTAGTCCTCAAATTAATTATGAATATATATGCTCTTCCTCATCCTGTTTGCTAAGCCCCATTCTCAAATTTGATTATTTCAGTCTCTATTTTCTGAATGCCCACTACACAAGGGTTCCTGGACATTTTGGTTACCCAAACTGCATCTGTTCTATGTAGCAGGCACATTTCTCATACTGTGACATGGAATGAAACAAAATAGATGTCCTCTGAGTTCTCAAACATCAGACAGCTAAGTTGGACAGACAGAACATAAATTGTATATGTGATAAATGTACTTGATTTTCAAAACAAATTTTAGATTATTTTTACCATTTTAGTAGTTATAAGAATTTTTTTTTTGGTATCAGAGACCAAGACCTTGAGACTCAGGACCTTGAGCTTACGAGGTAGGTGTGGCACCACTGAGCTAAACCCCCAGCCCAAACATAATATTTTAATGAAATACAAGGTAACTTTACTTTACCTACTTCAATACTGAACAGTGATTTGTGCTGCTTCCTCCACAACAAATGACTGTTACTCACTTGCTTTTGTCTTCCAAAATGTAGGTTAAATCCAACTTAACTTTTCATGTTTTTATCAGACCTGCCTCAATTTTCTCACTAAACAGCACCATCCATAATCCATTTGGATTTCCAAGCCATAAACTTGAGACTTTTGCTTTCTGCTTCATCTCAACCATAAAACACTCATAAAGTCCAGTGGGCATTTGCCAATCTAATGTTTCCTGTTCCTTCCTTTCCACTTACTCTGCCATTCTTGCATTTTCAGCTTTATTCTCTTCTGCTCTGTTTGACTGTTATGGATTCTTGTGGTGCCTCCAATTTTGTCTTCCCTCTAGTTATCCACTGTAATGAATAAATGACGTTTCCAAGAATATCCTCCAAAACAAAAAAGCAACCTTTAGTCATGTCACAGTTCTGCAGCGTCCCCACTTCCAAAGAAATGGATGAAATTTATTTTACAGTCTGTCAACTTCTACCTTCCAGCTCCACTCCTCTCACTCCTTCACTCTGTACTTAATTTACCCTGCAGTCCTTTCTGTTCCTTCAATTGCATTCCCCTCACTTCATCCTTCTGTACACGCACACCCTCAGTCCTGTCTGCGTGAAAGTTATCTCCTCAACAACTCTGTTCTTCAAAATTCTGTTTCAGAACCAATTTCTTCAGGAAGTTTTCTTCTTATAACATTTCTCAATAACATAGCTCATCCCTTTTGAGTTTTATGTGTATTTTTGTCTACTTCATACATATGTCTGGCATGGATTCCAACAGAACACTGGAAATGTGCCTGTTTCCAAAATTAAACTGAGCTCCCTGAGGATAGACTTTATCAATTTGATTATTGTTAAAGAACAAAGTGTAATATCGTTCAAAGGATATATAATTTATAGGCAAATATTTCAAGCCCATGCTTAAGATTTTCAAGACCAGTCTTTTTCACTTAACAGAGGTAACTTCTAAGACTTTTTAAACTATTGTCTATTTTGTTTCCTCGTCTGTTTAAATGATACTTCTAAGAAATTGTTTGTAGGAAGAAGCTAAAATGAGATACACCTTATGGAATTATTTCCTTGGATATAAAATGTTATAAAAATATTACTACTCTTTGAATCAGAGAGTTCTTTAGATACAGACATGTTTTGACCTCTAACGCATTTTTATGTGATTCTTCCTACTTTACAGTCAGACCTAATGTAGAAATGACCAGAAATGAAGTTCATATTTGATAAAATTCATATTTTTAAACTCATAGTAAGAAAAGTAAGCATTTTCTCAAACTTTGTACAAAATTTATCATAAAATGTTCCTAGTAAGAAAGGGGAAAACTAAAATCCTGGACTTAGTGCATTAATTAAATTCCTACAGAGTAAAAAAAGTAAAAGAATGGGAAATAATAAAATTCAACAAGGTCTACTAGAGTATGATTTAGTGGCTATTTTGAGGAGTGCTATAATGCAAATTAACAACAGTTTAAATGTGAAGACCTTTTTCTGAGAGTGTGCCCTGAGCAGAATTGAAAACACTTGATTTCTTCCAAAAATCTAGAGCATTTCCACCACCTGGATACCACTTCCCTCATCTGGCAATTACAAGGGTCTCCCTTTCACATGCCTTCCTAGAACAGGCATTCCTAAAAATTTCTCATTATCTTTGACTTTCCTCTCTTAGTCCTTCAGCTATATTTCTGGTTCGGTGCTATTTTTAGCATAGTTATCATACAGAAACAATTATATCAACTCAAGCAAAAACATCTGTTAGAAACGCAGTGCCTGATTTTAGGAAATCCAGTATGGGTAAAAGAGCCTCTTTGGTTTTAGGTAGCTTACTGTCTAGTATAGACAAATATAAAATCTGATGAATACATTAAAAGACACAAACGTGAAACATCGAGAAATTTCTGAGGAAAAAGCAGCTCGCTATCCTGGGAAATTTGGAGAGAGCTCCACAGAGAAAGTGGTTTCAAATTGTTTTGAAAAGAGAGTACAGTGCCAGTGGGCAAGAAGAGAGAAAAGAAAAGGGGGTTTCACCAGAAAGAACTGCCTTTTCAAAGGCCAGAGCTATGAAAGGGACCACAGATTTACATGGCTGGAAGATCAGTATGGCTTGGAAAATATAAAAGAAAAATGAGCCATATAGTTTATTTAATCTCTTACCTCCCAGAATATTTTTATTTTATAAGCTTTTGAACCAAAAAAGAGTCTCTCCAGTAATAGGTATCTGTCTATATGGAAGAGGACAGTGAGGGAAGTTCACCCTTTATATATGAGAAAATTTTTGTCAATGAAAACCTGCAACACTGCTTAACCCTGTCCGTGAGCTCATCTTCCTCTATCATCCCCCTCTGCCAGCATGGAATACATCACCACCATCAATCTATCCTAGTATCACAGTCGACATTATAACTGCTTGAATCACTGTCTATCTTTTAGATATATACCATCTTATTCACACCGTCCTTCCCACCATACCTACTGTAGAGGTTAAAAAAAATTAACAAATTTATTTAACAAGGTTTTACATGGCATTGGAGTTTTAAAATCTGAAGAGCCCCAAATAAAGGGGAAATTGGACTTTTCTGCTAAATTTGATTACAGTATCTAGCTGTGGAATAATGTGATTGGACAATAAAAGGTATGATCTAATGGTAATAAACAGGGAGGAAACCAGGAAAGCAGGTTTGTTCAGATCCTTCTTGGCCTCTCTGGGTAGGACTCCCACCCACCCCCAGATACAGGACAGGACGTCTGACACAAGAGTGGCTCATGTCTTATATTCAGGGGAGATGACTCAGAGACCTTGCTAAGTTTGATGGCTTGCTTTGGAGGAGATTTCTAGTTTCTGTAACCTACCTATAAAGAGAGAAATTGTGGTTCCTATGACTGATGCGCCTTAATTGAAAAAGATTATCTGGAGACAAAAGGGGAGAAGCACAGATGGTCCTTGCTTCTGAAGATTTCCCAATATTATTCAGTTCAAAATACTTAATGCTAAGGCATCATACCGTGGGGTATCATTTTCTGAGCCCCCAGGACAGGTTTCAAAGCATATCAAATTGAACATAATTAATGAAACTCTATAAACAATAATAATTAACATATATGTTGATATTTAAAATAGCACTAATTTTTTTTATATTTCAGTATCCAGGGACTTGGTGGATATTTGAATAAAGTGAGACAGTAAAATCTTTCATCTTCATCCTCAATATTAACGTAAAACACAAAATTATTTTCATTTTTAAACATACATTCTGATGGTAATTTTTCTGAAAAGATTGGTTTTTCAATTGTGTGAAGTCCTTATATATTTGTGTGCTTGGATGTTTCACAATAAAAATTATCTTTAGTAGATACTTTAAACTAAATGATTCCTCCAAAGAGGAAAATACATGCCAAATTTTGAAATGGTGATCATTCATTATAAATTCCTCTGTCTTTGTTCTAGGAACTGTGAACCATCAGTACCATGTAAACAGTCAAGTTGTTTCTGCAACCATACAGCAAAATGGGAAGAACCAAAATTTGCAATTAGTTATAGCCTGCACTCATAGCTTATTCACGTCAGAGATACCAGAATTTCAGAGCTAAGCCTCTTCTGAAGCTCTTCTCAGAGTCATTCTAGAAGCCAAAAGGTTTTGAACCTCTTCTGTGATATGTAGTTTATAATATTCGTGTTGCTCTAATCAGAAATGTTGCCAGTGGATTACAATTCCGTGAAACGAATCACCTTAGTGATTTGATTAAGGTGCAGATTAATGTTGAAGTTACCACAGAAAAGAGATTAATAGGTTAAAATTCCACCAGTATTTTTGTAAATATGAAGGAAACCAAATTTGGTAATGCTAAATGTATTTACTTAAATGTAATGTCAATATTTATTATAATGTATGATTGTGTATTTGTTAAAGGAACTTATTTTATAATATCAATGTATCAGAACATATTTTATTAAACTTTCAATTTACTGTCTTACAATTTTTATTTAAATATCCTATAATTCTTTATTTTATTCTCTAATATTAGGATGAATGACATAACTGCTTTCAATGCAACTTTACGTAGAGTTTTATAGACTCATTGTTATTCTTAAAGTAGGTAAATTTCTTATTCTCTCAGTATTGGCAATAAACCCTCCATTGGGGAAAGTTCAGTTAGTTCTTTTATTCAGCTTCTAAAGCTATCTTGGGATCTTCTCAATAAGCCTTTGGTTTCTGCTAGACATGAACTTGATTTCTTACGATTTTGTTTTATACAATAAGCACAGGCATTAAACTTGATGAGAATCTATGCAAATTTGGTCACTCATATAGAATTGAATAAAACAAATGAATTCCTCTGTAACTTAGCAGGTACTCAGAAGTTAAACCAAAATAGTCCTATCTTGTAAATCTTACACTATGAAAAATACTTATTCACAGATGGACTCAAGAAGCAGGGAATTCTAAAGCTCAAATGGGCTTTGGTATTCTCTAGCATGGAACAGGACTCTGGAAATTCCCTAATCGGCAACAAGTCCTTGTTAACCACTTTCTTCAAAACTGATGAAGTGGAACGCATTGTTAGCTAAGATGGTCAACTCCATTTGAAAGTTCTGTTTGTGAGAAAGTTCTTTATGTTCTGAGCCAACTTAGTGTATGTAACATTAAGGACAAGCTAAATGAGTCCATCCTTCTCCTCTGGATAATAGCAGCAACTATTAAAAAAAGGAGGAAACCTATCTTTCAGCACAAAGATATACAAATGGTCATCCTCAAATCTGTTTAATAAAATTTATTTTAATAGAGACTTCTCTAAGTATAATACACAGATAGATGAAGGATCACACATATATTGATTTATATTGAAGAAAGAACAAAAACCATATTTAAATCCTACCACAATGAATAAATTAGTAAATAATAAAAGAGGTAGCAGATCAATGGAAGGGTGATAATTTAGTGACTAGATGTGGAATATGTAGTTAGCAATATAGAAAAGATTCACTTGGGTTCTTTGGATAGCATAATATACCAAATACACTGAATTTAAATTAAATACATAAATGTAAACACTAATCTTTAGCCAAGCAATGAAAGTAAAGACCTGTCTATCATATCTTAAAAATAAGAAGTAGGCTAGAAGCAAGAAAAGAAATCCCCAAGGAAAGCATCTACATATCCAAAGGCATAAATAGTGTAACTTTCCCCATTCAAAAAAAAACCAGAACTGAAAGCCTAAAAATGTAGGGAAATGAGGCAACAAATATGACAGTCTAAAAGTTAATCTTTTTGTTTACATAAAGAAAAATTTAAAAGTCAATAGGGAAAGCATTTCAAAAAACAAGTGAATACATAGTCTTCAAAAGCAGATATATAAATAAATACATGAGAAGAGGTTCATTTGTATAAGTAATTAGACACAAATACAAATCAAAATGACAGCAAAATGTATATTTGTGTTTTAGCAATAATCAATTTTATAGTACTTAAGCTTAAAAACAATCTCTGCCATACATTGATACAATTTGTAAAAATTTATATTTTGTATTATAATCAAAACTACATATGTATATACTAGCACAACTCTATTTGAGACTTTTCCCTAAGAAAATAATATAAATATTCAATGATGCCAATCAGTATTATTTATATTAAAGCAATTTTATATAAACCAAAATAAATAGATATTAAAATAATTGTTTTTGGTACCAGGGATCAAACTCAGGACCTTGTCCTAAAATAATTTTAAATGAAGTGATAGTTTTCATGATGCCTAGTAGATTGAATAGATTTTATATGATTATTAATTTTAAATTAATAAATAGGTGTTAACCATTAAAATATATAGCAGAAATTATAATAAACATTTACTAAGTCCCTATGGTCTGACAAATAATTATTATTTTGGTAACTCACTTCATGTAACTTTCTCACATCAGTTTTGAAAGATTAACTCACATGTTAGAGATGGAATAATTTAGAGATGGAGAGTTTGAATGCCTTATTCCAAACCACACAGTAAAAGCTGTAGAGATAAGCTTCAGACGTCAGGCCTTAATAGTCACCATTTTAATATCCAAACTATTTATTAATGCAACAACAAGTTTTACTACTTTTGGTAGGAACTACATGATTAAAAATTCAAACGCATATAATTTGAAATAGGAAAAGGTCCAAGGGTGTAGAGGTAGTGGGAGGGGAAGGGGAAAGGAAAGAAGGGAAAGGAAAAATTATGAGAAAAGAAAAAAAATGGGAACACAGTCTATGTAAATAGGGAAGGGTGGAGAGGGTGAAGGGAACATAGGTAATGGGGAAAAAAATAAGAACCAAGATACATCCTGTACAGGTACAAGCACCCAATGACAAATGTTAATGTATTGTATACCTAAAATGTACCAATAAAAGAATTTAAGGGGAAAAAAATTCAAACATGTGTATGAATTAAAATGTAAATATAATAGTTGTATTACTATTGGTAGGTATCCATGAGTTTCTAAATTTTTCATAACATTTTACATTGAAATGTTTAAAATCTATTTCTATTAATATGATTAGCTAAGTCACTTGGACTATTGCTAATTCAATTAAAAATTTTTTTTGGGGGGGGGGTTGGTTTTTTTGTACTGGGGATCAAACTCCAGACCTTGTGCTTCAACTAAAATGTTTTTAACATTATTTACAAAAACCTTTTAAAAGCATTATATATATGACAAGATATTAGATACAAAGTGGGGTAGGAATCGAGGGAGTTAAGCATATTCATGAAATGACATTTGCCTTGAGAGCATTTATCAACCTGGCAAAGATGAGCTTTAGTTTCAATAGTCTGTTGGGGCATGAGGGTCAAAATCAAACATAATGACTGTATGAGCGTGAGAGTGTAGTAGAGGACAAACTGAAACTCCAAATGTCTACCTTTGTAGCAAAATGATAAAACACAAATAACCTTCTACATTCCACCTTGGGAGATTGCATGAAAACTCACCTTTACCCCACACAAATGAGAAAGGGAAAAAAGTCCTTCAGGTGATTCTTTTTAGATCTCTTTTTAGTTCTGTGTACTCTAAAACACCTCTCATTATAAATTTAGATTAATGAAGTCTATAGAAGTAGTGCTATAAAAGCTTGGCAGAATGAAAGGCAACGCCTTTTAGATGAATATATTTCATCATGAGCCTCAAAACATTCATAATAGTCCAAAGGACTGTCATACAACTCACATTCAAATCTTACCAATCAGAGGAAGAAATGGCACCAGAATTGTACCACTAGTGGTGGAGTTTGGGAAGAATCTAAGAAAATGAAGTAGATAGGTCACAAATGGGGCAATGGTGGCAGAAGGACATCCTAAAGAGCTTTGATGGTTATGGCCAAGATGCTGGCTTTTAACATGAATGAAGTGGATTACAATTGAAGGGTTTTGAGCTGAAAGGTCATTTGATCTAAAGTTTAAAATATATGTTAAAAATAGGATCTTGACTGTACAATCATGACAGAAGAGTCCAAGCAGGATGGAAGCTTACCGAATGATCAGGTGATAGATGATTATGTTGGCTTCAACTAGATGCTTCATCACCACTGGAAACTGAAAACCGTCAAATTCTTCATAATTTGAAAGTAGAGATCATCAGATAGACTGGTTGAATTTTTAAAAGATGATCAGGGAGAATAATAGCAGGGTTTTTGTGGAATTATTATCAAAGAAGTCACTGATAAATGCTTACTTTCTGGATTTTAAAAACTAATAATCAGAAAATTTACATAGCAAGGAACTCCCTTAATCTGCTAAAGGATATAATTTGTTTATTAAGAACAAATATTGAACTTAACAGTGAAATGTTAAGAGCTTTTCCTTCATATGAAGACAAGAAATGAATGCCACTAGCACTTTCTATTAAGCCTTTACCTGAGAAGCCCTGCCATACAGCAGAGCAGAAAAGATAAGTAAATAGTAAGAATTAGAATTTAAAAACAAAATTCTGATTTTATGGAAATTGTACCATTATTACGTGACTGTAATCTACATTATCAATGAATTTACAAGTAAATTATTTGACTTAATAAGAAAAGTTGGTTATAAAAACAGCACAGATTTTGCATTTCTATAATATTATCAATAATTAATCAGCATTTGAAACTATTAAAAGATACTTTTATATATATAAAATATATATATAGCCAGAAATGTAAAACACTTGTGAATATATCTACAAACATATATTGTACTTCTATAAAGAAAATTACAAAATTAAATTGGGATCAATTAAAGAAGACCTAAATAAAGAAGAAATATGACATATTCATGATAAGAAAACCTAAAATGTTGAAAAAATGGAGATTCTCTCCATATTTTATCAATTCCATATCAATTCATTGGAGTGTATCAGTTGTCAATTCAAACCCTTTTGGTTAAAAGATATGCTTATTATATAATGTATAAACTAATGAAATGAGTTAATAAAGAACAACAAGTTAGAAAGAACTGTACTAGCATATTTTAAGAATGATTATAAAATAAAATAATTGAAATACTGTGATAATCATAGACTTACTAAAGAATGTAATAATCAAAAATCTGACCTATACATATATGAATACAATATATGACAGAATGCATTGCAAACCAGTAGAAAAGACAGATATTTCTGTAAATA